AAGTAGATTTTCACAACCCTAAAAGGGGAAGCTTCAGCAGTAGCCTACGTTAGTATATCAACAGTGATGATTCAGGCCTGAAACGTCCGTAGCTCATGATATTTAGAATTATACAGATGAGGTTATCCGGTGCGGTATTTATGCCTTCATCTGCGCACTTTTAGCATCTGCATGAGGTTATATATTGTAACAATCGAATAAACACTCAGAGTATATAATCAAACGAACCAGTAATTAGGACTACACTCTAGTTACTAGAAATGTAATTAGCTGTAGCCTATATGCGTTTGGTATTGCATTGGTAAAATTAATCTTTTTTACCTTTCTTTCGCCTTCGGGCATGGCGAAATGAAATCTTTATATACGAATGTGTCTGTGCGGATTCAACTAGGCAGTTCGGTATATGTTTATGAAGCTATGCATGGCATGTAGGGATAATCAATGGTGGAATTCGAGGGGTTCGCAAGAACCCGTTCGGGGCATGTCGTGATAATCATCTCACCCGTTCTTCTTTTTGGTTTAAGACGTTAGAGTCTAACTACCGCAGCATATGAGTAACGAACACCTGATGACTAGCGTTGTATTTGGCATATGAAAAGTTATACCATGTATTAGATTTATGTAAAACGTGTCATGTTAATGTAGCTTACGTAGTGACATACATATATGAGGGAACCTGTTGTTAGTGAATTCTATACAAACGAGAACTTCTTATTGAAATTTTCAATCCCACCACCCCGTAGAATTAATTTATATAGACATAGAACGCGCGAATCTCCACTAATGCAACAAGGTGTCAATTTATTGGTTTGTACTGATTAGACAGAATTGGACGACAAATGTTGTTTGAAATCGATATCAGGATGTTATTTCTATCGTAGATATGGAATATACCAGAGGTGTAAACCTTTTTTGTCTGTGATCCATAAAACAAACTTTAGACATCAAGCTGGGGCACACAAAAAATTAGCGGAGAAGGCAAGAGAAGAGGATTTTGCTATCTCATTTAGCCTTGCAGTAATAAAATCATCGGGCAAAATGGCGAAAGATTTAACACAGCGACGGGAGAAAAAACATGTATTTTTATCCATGTGAGCACTTTTTCAAACATAAACCTGTCTGGTTAGGATTTTTTGCCTGATGGAGAAAATTTTAGTATTGGCCAGTATTGGCCACACTAAATGGTTTGTGGGGCCTTCTGTTGCACATCCTGGAATATACCATAGACCAGAGGTGTCAAACTTGCGGCCCGCATGCGGCCCCAGAGCATCTCTAATGCGGCCCTCAAACGTAATACCCACCTCGAACAATAATAGTAATATTTTGTAACTTTTTTTTTATCTAAATGTAATACATGTTTTAAACTTTTTAAATTGAAATTGATTATTCACACAGAAAACGACAATTTACTGAAAGTAGTTTTGGAAAATTATTTTTTGTTTTGTTTTCAAGTTAACCCATTTATGAATACAAGCTAGCAAAAATACTTGAAAAAAAAAACACCTCGGGGAAGAAGGTATAAAGAAAGAAGGTAGCATTTTTGAAGAAAAATAGGAATTGCAATATTTTTACATTTACATTAGTTTGTTTTGACGGCGCTCGCGTGAGGACGTCGGACGGAGTCGGGAATTACTTCACAACGATACTACCCATATACTACAGGGAAAATTGTGAGTTGTATTTATTCCTATTTCTTATTGGGAAACTTAATATTTCAACCCATTTTATCGGCTGCGGCCGGTAAAGTGGGATATGTATGGAATCGAAGAACAAACAAATGAACGTCGGGGTGAAGATGAAATTGGGCCTTCAATCAAATTGAGAAATGTTGCATTAACTAAAACGACAGAAGCGGAAAGTCACCAATTCCGCGTTGTGGTGTCAGGTGTTGATCGTCCAATAAGGATACACAATCCTAATGCAGTTAATAAAGGGTTACGTGAACAAATCGGTGACTACAAAGTCGTGAAAGTTTTGGCTAGTGGAGAACTATTGGTAGATTGTTGTGGCAAATCCCAAATGACGAAACTGTTAAATTGCAAACAATTGGGTGACGCGAAAATTCATATTAAAGCGGAAGAATATAAACAAACAAACGTTCAGTCGAAAGGTGTAATTAGCGGAGTGCCGATTGACATATCTGACTCCCGAGCTATTAAGCTTTCTAAGCGATCAACGCGTCATAAAGTCGCAGAGATTAAAGGTACGAAAGACAAACAATACTTCATTAAATAATACTGAAACAACTCCAAGTTTATCCGTTCTATTATTTTTCGATACTACCCGCTTGCCTTCAGTCGTACATGTGGGGTACTTAAGATTTGCAGTACGAGTATACAATCCGCCACCACTAAGATGTTTTACCTGCCAGTCTTTTGGACATATTTCCAAAAACTGTCGGGGATCAACGCGGTGCGCGAGGTGCGGAGGACGTCACCTTACCAATGAATGTGAAAAAGCAGAAAGAGTATGTTTACATTAAAAAGGAAATCATAGTGCGGCATATGGCGGATGTCCTAGATACAAAGATACCAAAAATTCGTGCTCAACAAAGCGTCACTTCTTGTGAGGCAAGATCAATTGTCAGAAAAAACAACATTGCAGCTGCTCCAATTTTTTCAGAGGAAAATTTTTCCGCTATGCCGGGTCCCGAATGTTCTTCTAATCTAGAAATATTTCGTCATACTATGTCTCAGCCAATACAGTCAGTTGATCTGTCACAAACTATTGTAGTTCTCTCAGCAAAAATTCAAACGTTTCGCAACTATGGAGAACAGTTCGTGCAATGTCTAATATAGGTAACAATCAATTTGAAATACCAGCAATTGTTGACAATAATCGTACTTTAGTTGCGTACTTAGGTGCTCAGACACTTGCCCCATAAATGCAAAATAATACTCCTACAACTTTTTAATCTTATTTGGGTAAAAAGACTATTACCATCTCATTGGCGCCACTCCATCGTAGTTCCCATATTAAAATCTAACAAACCGAATAATCTTGTATCATCATTCAGACCCATTTCGTTGACGTCCAACTTATGTAAGGTAATGGAACGACTAATTGCAAACCGGCTCAAATGGTATCTTGAAAAGTTTAGTTTGATAACGACGAAACAATCTGGATTTAGAAATCATCGCTCAACAACCGATAATATCCTTCGAATACATGATGATATCTATAAAGCTTTGGCAAATAAAAGTTCTGTTCTAGCAGTGTTTCTCGATATGAAAAAGGCTTACGACATGGTCTGGCGTTGTGGTCTTTTATACAAACTGTATAATATTGGGATACTTGGTCGATATTTTATGTGGATTTAATCGTTTTTGTCGATCCGTACCTTTCAAGTCCGTATCGGCAATAAAATGTTCGATATATTCAAGCTCGATAACGGAATTCCTCAAGGTAGCGTTTTATTCCCACTTCTTTTTAATGTTATGACAAACGATTTGCCCCAGTGTGTTTCTTCAAACATAGCGCTCTTCGCGGACGACTGCAGTATTTGGGAAGTTGAGTTACGTATTGATCATCTTTTTACAAAGGTTCTATCTAATCTAGACAATATTAATTACTGGTGCAATGATTGGGGGTTTCGCCTCTCGAAAACAAAATCAAAAGCCATTCTTTTCACGAGACGAAGAAACTGCCACATACAATATTGAAAATAGAAGGATCTAGTCTTAAAATTGAGAAGGACTGCAAATACCTGGGAGTCATATTCGATTCACGATTGACATACAAGAAACATATTGAGTACATAGAAAAAAGATGCGGTAAAAGAGTGAATTTGTTACGTGCATTATCGGGTACGAAGTAGAGATGTACCGATACCACTTTTGTCACCGATACCGATCCGATACCAGCTAAAAACGCCGATACCGATACGCCGATACTACAAAAAAGACCGATATCACCGATACCGATACTATGTAATTACTACCTAATTAGGTCTGCTGTGTAGGGCAGACGGGTTAAAACAATGATCTTTGAGCGTTGTTCATAGTACACAATATTTCAGATCGAGAAAAAAGATATATGTGTCGCATAATATGGAATTAATGTTTGGTATCCATATGCTTTAACTGATTAAGATACATTGTACAGTAACGCTAGTAATCTCGGTGTTCAATTGAAACTCATAAGCCGGGATGTTCAATATGAATTTGATGTTAATATCGCGACCTTCAAAAATCGTTATTCGTGTTTAAAAGAATATCGAATATCACCCACACATTCTAGAGCCGCCGTCCTACGTTCAAATTAAAAGCATTTTTCAAATATTTTATTTCGTGGCTAATCGTAATCGTCGACGCAATAAGTAAGTCAAAGCCAACATGAAAGAATATCAATCAGCACCGACCAAAAGAAGGCCTACCTATAACCGTCGAGGACGTTTTTTTTACTTTACTATTTTATATTATTATACAAATGCTATCATATATTTTGTGACAGTCTAGGGCTAGGCGGTCATGTCAATATATCTATAAAGAAATTGTGTAGTTAAACAAAATTAATACCTGCGTAGAGGGATAATTGTGTCGGAATTTAGTTTATCAATGTCGGACTAAATGACACTCGTACTTGACGACAAACAGTCAGAATCTATACCCGTGCCAAAAGTCCATGTGCCGTTAATAAGGACCCCAATTCCACTGTATGATTTAAAACTGGGCGTCTAATTGCTTTATGTTATGTACCGTGTTGATATATTTCTTCATAATTACTATGTAATATTAAAAATGTCAATATAAAAAATTGACAGCGAAAATAGCCAAATTAGTTAAGTTAATTTGTCTGATAAATAGCTAAAAACACGTGAATCCTATTCTCTCGCGGGAGTGGGGACATGTATGGCTCATAGCTCACGATCTCTCCAGACAAAAAATAAATTGAAAAGTAGTATTCCAACTTATCTTTTAAAACATTCTGGACCATATCAAAAAGGTAAATATATCGGAAATATCGGTCTTAATCTAACCGATACCGATACATGGCCGAAATTGAAAAAATAGCCGTTATCGTCGATACCGATACATCGGTACATCTCTAGTACGAAGTGGGGTGCAAATAAGAATACCTTACTCACAGTATGTAGGGCGATAATAAAACCAGTTATCGAGTATGGCATGGAAGCAATTTATTTTACATCTCCGACTATATTGCGGAAACTGGCCGTAATCCAATCACAATGTTTACGCATTTGCTTGGGTGCATTAAAAAGTACTCCTATTTTAGCTTTACAATCCCAGTGTAACGGAATGCCTTTACATATTATACATTATAGAAAATGTCTACATTACAAATGCAGAATGATCCCTCATGACAGCGAAATTACAACACAATTATTTAAACAGTCGTGGGAAGAATATTTTCCTGACAAACCATCATTTGCAACGTTTAATATGAAAACAACCAACGGCTTTTTTACCACTTCCGCCACTTTCCGTCTCAGAAGCAAAATCATATTTTAATACATTGACTCGAGAAAAATGGAATACGGAATATGTTAATAGTGAATCAACAAGTCATTATAAAAGATTTCATCCTACCACGATGTCACGAATAGAAAACGAAACTTTGTCACGTAAATATCAAGTCCTTTTATTCCGACTGCAAAGTGGTCATTGTGCCCTAAATGCATATTTACATAAAATTGGCTGTCATTCTGACGGATTTTGTGAACAGTGTTTTGTATCCGAGACCGTAGCCCACTACCTATTGCATTGTCAACGATATAATCATCAAAGGAACTCAGTCATTAGCAAAGCCAGAAAACTTAAACTGGAAATGAGTTTGGAAGAAGTGCTTAGTAATATGGACATTATTGAAACTGTTATCAAATTTGTTTTGTCTACGGGCAGAAATGTTTAGAAATAATCACTTATTGTAATTGAATCAATTGTATAATTATATATTCGTAAATATTGTATTATATGTTAGTATAGTATTTTTAAATTTGAATTGATCAATGCCGCAAAAGACCACTGAAGTTATGAGCGCCATAAAACATATAACAACAACATTTCTCAAAATTCTAAAGCACATTGTTTAATTTGTCACATTTCCACCAATACAGTGAAAGATTACAATATGACAAATTTAAAAATCAACTTCGAACAGAAAAACTTTATGTGTTTGTATATTATTATGATTATACAACTACCTAGTCCATAACTCCATAACTCGAGCGGTCCTATGCCACGTAATAGTAGGAATTCTCGCGAAATGTGGCGAGAAATGTCTGATCCGAAAAGTCAGTAGTTTCTGTGTTTACTGATCTATAAAACATAAAATGATAAACGTAATATTTTTGTTTTACTGAAATTAATCAAACATCCTCAATGATCCAAATTAACCGATGATCATGTGAACTCGTTGATTAGAATTGTTACTGTAAAATCATTTTACGCTGATACTAATAAGCCGGTGGCACAAATGAGATGCCAAACGTCAGGACATATGTAATAAAAAAAACATTGAGTTTATTTTGTAGTGTTTTTGCAAATTTTCGGTCTATCGATTTAGATTAAGTAATTTTTAGTGTATGTTTTAATTTTTCCTTATCAAAACTTTGTTCAAAAATGTTTTGGATAGTTAAATAAAAATTTATGATTTTTTGGAATAAATACAGCAATAATAAATGAAATGCAAAATCTATATGTAAATGACATTTGAAGTTTAAGAAAATAACAGAACTTCATTCGGCTGTTTAATTACATCACATTATGTGTCACAAACTACACCTACAACATGCTTCAAGTATACATTATCAAAATATATCAAAAACTGTTTGCGACCCTCGAAAACCCACGAGTTTGACACCCCTGCCATAGACACTTTGTTTATCACTGGTACATGCTTTCAATCAATGGCATTGGCGTCTCTGGCATACGGCCAAAAATAAGTCCTAATCACTTTTCTTCATTGCAGTTTTTGTGTGAAAATGTCTGACAAAAACAGCCAACTCATTGTCGTTCTTGGGTTCTTTCTAACCGTGATTGTTTGTCATTGGAGTTTTACTTCGTTGTCGAATAGAACTAGACAAGTCTACGTTACACATTACGACGTGGAACACCATGTGAAACAAAGTAATATGGATAATATTCAACAAGGTGATCATAATTTTCATATTGCAGTAGTTATATTTTTCTATCAAATATGGCGAAGAAAGAAACAAATTGAATTATAAGGGGAAACCGTTATACTTCTGTTATACATATACATTCGATGACGAACATTCTGAAACACAAAATGGCGTACGTCAGTTTCTGAAATATATCGTCAGCTTCGTTTAAAAGAGCTGAAGTTAGGAATGTCAGCATAGCATTGAATAAAATAAATGTATTTCCTTTTTCAGAAATTCAAACCATTACTATGAAGTTGCTTAGGAACTTGACAATGGAAAATTACCGAAAAACATTATTTTCTGACACGGAAATAGGAGGTAATCTATTTTTTAATTCTAATAATCATCATCTTTTCCTTTTCCACAATGATGTTATATTTTCTCTACCATGCAGAATGCGATTTGCTCATTGAAAGGCGTTGCTACATCACAGTGGTTTACTTGGAAACAGTACCATATTCTCGAGCGGTATCGATTTGCCAGGATAAAAATTCAAGCGTCGCTCAAATACCCGACGAAATTACTTACAACAGCGTTGTGAAAAATATTCGTTCGAAAATACCGGATGACTGGATTTCTACATCAGTTTGGATTAAAGGTCCACTTAATGAAAAGGTTGGGAATTGGGATTCATATTTTCCTCATATCTGTATTGATTAATCGGCGCTCCAGAAGTATGTGTACTAATATGGAGGTAACTAATTTTGTTCGCCCACTTTACATCAAGTTGTGTAAAAGGACGGAAGCTTATGCTGGGCATGGTGTATATTCACTTGGTAACTAATTTTGTTCGCCCACTTTACATCAAGTTGTGTAAAGGGACGGAAGCCTATGCTGGGCATGATGTATATTCACTTGGTAACTAATTTTGTTCGCCCACTTTACATCAAGTTGTGTAAAGGGACGGAAGCCTATGCTGGGCATGATGTATATTCACTTGGCTATCACAAACAGTCCCCGAACTCGTAACAGAACTGAAATATGGAAAATGGGAACAAAATAACCCTAATCTGGTACACATACTACGGGAGTACGGATTAATCTCATCCTAACAAAAGAAATATTATGGCTCTTGCATTCGAGTAAATTAGTCCTCATTCAACCGAACCCACGTGATACAAATATTATATACCTTCTTCCGATAAGGAGAGATTTGCCAAGTAAAAGCCAATTATAGTAAAATAATCGTGTGGGAAATATTATAGAAATTGCTTCAAAAAGTCAGTTTTTTCTGAAATACCCACTTCCGATTAAGACAGAGTCTTCATTTCCCACAGAATAAAGCCTCCAATGAGTTTGGTAAAAATTTGCCTAAATTTGGGGTCGAAATCAAGATTCCCAGTAAGTTCGTATTTTTTGTTTCAAAGCAACAGCGCCCAAAAACTTTGTGGTAATATGAAAAAGGTGCGATGGCGATGCACTGCTTTGATTAAATGCCCACGATGTTGCGCCTCTGTAAATAAATACATCTGCACAACAACACGTTTACAAAGAAGTTACTCCAAAATCATGAGTTCTTGTGTGCAGCACCATGGGCATTTTCTTCGCTTAGTGTCATATACTATAATTTTCATTGTATAATAATATTCATTCATTGTGTTAACTGTGTGTAATTCTCCACGAGTTTGTCTGTACCCCACTCGAAACCCCTCAATTCCCCGCAAGTGGAAATTACCCACCAGTTGGGAACCACTGTGTTAGAGCCTAAGTCAAGTCAAACGTGAAATCCCATCATTCAGCATTCGCTCCGTCCCAACTGGCTGCTTTATGGAGACTTTCCGCAAGCGATTATCGCATAACATAAAATAAAACTTCAGGTAATATTCACGATCCTTGACATTGTATTACATTTCAGATCAAACACTTGGCAGGTGATTATTCAAATTCTAATGAATGGCAGGAGAATCAGCCAATCGAGTCTATATCAAGTTGGCCAAACTTTTATCTAGTGGTTGGTCGAGATCCAGGCTCCAAAGAACAGGGTATGCGATCCGGATTTGCTTTATCCGCTCTACGAGGAGTCGTATGCGAACGATGAACATTTTTGTAAGGCTTACTAAAAGCATAGAAAAGAAAAATATTGCAAAAAAACATTCCCTTCATCAGCGCATAATTGTCGAAAAATAATCAACTTCGAAGCAGAAACCAACGAAAAGAGCATATTTGGCATGACATCAGTTTAATTTAAGCTTTCCAGTCCAAGTGGATTTTTTTACAGTTATAACCAAATTATTGCCCATTTCTTCGATACTGTTGAGTCTCTGACACCACTTGCTTTTGCCATCCTTTATCCATCCAAATATCGCATTCGCATGTTTCGCTTCAATGTATCTTTAATTTATATTATTGCAAACATCTAGAAATCATTTATGTATACGCAAGAAATGCAGTTATATATTAATAATAAATTAATAAACTGAAGATGGATCGATTTAAAAAAAAAACGATGCAGATTGATATTGGATTCGATTCTAGTTCCGGGTATATAACAATGTTATATCGTAGATAATAACGTTATATTATTTACTTGCGGTGAGCAATATTCAGGTTTTCTTTTCATCACTTGCGGTATCAATATTTAACCTTGACATGCGAATACAATAGACTCAGTGAAAGCAAGTATACGTTTAGTAGAGCTGTTTGCCAAACCATGCGCCATTTCTGTTCATTACATTTGTATTACTGGGATAATAATTAATAACCAATGATATTTCGTCAATGTTCCAATGATGGAGCCCCCTCGCTATGGTTCCCATTGAAATTTGTAAATGTGGATAATAAACTGACTTCGTTAAAATTTGTTGTTTAATTTTATTGATTCTTCTAGCAGAGAGCGGTTAAAAAATTAATGCACATTGAGTCCGCAAAGATTTTCTCTGGTGAGAAAATACTCCGCGACCAAAAAGGTTGGGAAACGCTGATATAACCATAGAACGCGCGACCACGGGTAGTGCAAAAGTTGCCAAATCATTGGTTTGTACTAATTTGACAGGATTGGAACGACAAATGTTGTTTAAAAACAATATCAGACTTCAGACATCTATCTGGGACACACAGAAAATTAGCGGGGAAGGCAAGAGAAAAGGATTTGGCTATCGCTTATAGCCTTGCAATAATGAAGGCATCGGGCAAAATGGCGAAAGATTTAACGCAGCGACAAGAGCAAAAACATGTATTTTTATCCATGTTAGCGCTTTCACAAACATAAACCTGTCGGGTTAGGATTTTAGGCCTGATGGAGAAAATTTTGTTGTTGGCCACACTAAACGGCTTGTGGGGCCGTCTGTTGCACATCCTGGAATAGACCATGGACACTTTCTTTAACACTAGTTACTAGTACATGCTTTCAATCAATAACATTAGTGTCTCTGACATACGGCCAAAATAAGTCCTAATCACTTTTCTTCATTGCAGTTTTTATGTAAAAATGTCTGATAAAAACAGCCAACTCATTGTCGTTCTTGGGTTCTTTTCAACCGTGATTGTTTGTCATTGGAGTTTTACTTCGTTGTCGAATGGAACTAGACAAGTCTATGTTACACATTACGACGTGGAACACCATCGGAAACAAAGTGTTATGGATATTATTCAACAAGGTGATCATGATTTGCATATCGCAGTATTCTTTTATCAAATAGGGCAAAGAAAGAAACAAATTGAATAATATGTGCAAATTGGTATACATCTGAGTCGTTACCGCTGTGTTGTCATATCACGTTCATTCATTCATTCGATGACGAACATTCTGAAACTTGTCATTGCAAACGCAAAATGGCGTACGCCAGCTTCTGAAATATATCGTCAGCCTCGTTTAACCCTGCTAAAACGCCCAAACGGACGCAATGTTTAAGTCAATACAAAAATTAAGTGAATGCGATTCTCGATGTAACAGTAAGATTTGTCGTTTAACTGATTTAAATTGAATTCCACGCTACGATTTTCATACTAAAACATAATTTGTCTTATTCATTGATGAAAACTTCTTTAACCGCTTAATGAATTAAAAAAAACTGTTACGCTACAGCTTCTCGTATAGTTGAACTTGGATAATATATAATTATTGCCAGCGAGAAGAGCCGCATAAAAACTCCGACGAGTCGCATGCGCTCGCTAGCCTCGGTTTGCCCACCGTTGGCATATATAATATCAGTCAAGTGGCCACAAAATCAAAAACATGTCTAGAAGAACGCCAAAAGTGACTCAATACCCACAGTATCTCGACAAATCATACGTACTCGTCCGAAAATTTTAATCCAATGTGGAAGCGAGATTTAAATCGTGGGTTTTTGAGGATTTTACTTGTGACTTGAAAGATAAGGCGTTAAGCAACGCTTAATCACGCGTTGGTTTACGCTGTGAGAGTATTTTGCTTTTATTCTCTCATTTCGTCGACTCCCACGTCTGGCAGTTGCGACCAAGTTAAAGGGCGTTGCTCCAAGAGCTCCGAAATATCCCGCGCTCGAACTGTATGTTGTAGCATAAAGAATCGTGCGCATTCAGAATCATTTGTTTTAGTCTTATATATTATTCATTGTAATCTTCAATGTCGCATGCTGTAAGTTTTTAGTGTGTGTATCGTGGATTATTTTAGAGCAGTTACTAAAAAAGCAGGTTTTGCTGTTGTAGTACTGAGTTGGTTAACTGTGAATACATTGTACTGAAATAACAATTTTGTCATTACCAAAAACATGATATACCATTCGCCAAGTATTAATTTGCTGGTTTGAGTTTGTATTTTGTCTTGCAACATTATCAGCTTTTTTGTAAATATTTGTGGCAAATTTCGCATTCGGTCGCGCGAGAAGTGTACTGAAGTCCTACGCTTCAAAATAATTAATATGAATGGCAACGACAGGTATTTTGGTTCAATGAATACGATATGCTATGTCAGTAATCGGTGCGTTATTTTTCTAAAACATTATAAGATCTTTTGTAAATATATGTGGCAACTTTGCATTCGGTCGCGCGTAAAGTGTCCTGGGTTTCTCAGCCTCAAAATAATTGTAATAGAAAGGCAACGACAGGTATTTTTGGTTTCGTTTTACAATATATTTATTTTTTTATGACTTTACTATATATAACTTTCGGAATTTACATTTTGTTGAACTCTGTTTTCGGTAAAATTGTTTACTGGGTTGTTTTCCGTCCTGCAATCTTATTATATGGCCATTTTGTAGACGATGGAACTGTGGTATAACAATAAAGAAGACTAAATTGAAGCTTATAGTATTTGCTAAGGCGTTATTACAACTGTATAATCTAGCTTAGATTAATACAGACGACAGCAGAACCTTAGAAAATTTAATAATATTGCCCTATCACAATGTATTAAACAGATGAGGCAGGTAGTGAGAAATTTGGCGGCAAGTTTGGGTTACCCATATTCACAAAATATTTAAACTGTCACATGCGCATCTAACCAACACTTGGTCTATTAGATCATTTGTGGGGATTTGAAATATCCTGCGCAAATCGAAAAGCATCGCTTAAATTCTAGAATATCCGTGGGTAAACAGCAAAAATCAAAGACATATATTTATTAGGAAAATTGTCATTTGAAATTGATCCATTTCATCCAGTAATATGATATCAACCTAATTACTTTGTAAACAATTAGAAAACTGGTAATCAAAAAAATATTTTCATTGCTTTCTGTTTTTGAAAATTCTATTTTATTCAGGCAAAAAGGCAGAAGCTATGACGAATAGCTTATTACATGATGTTTATATGTAACATTGTAGTTAAATGATACTGTTTAAAATATTGTGTTTGCGCATGATGACATTCCGATGATCGAACAAAGTTCTTTCACTTGTTTCTTACAAACTCAAAATGGGCATGCTTGATCTTTTTGCATTTTAGAAAACTATTTCATAGACATTATTTATCATACATTTTAAAAAATTATAAGGATATAAACGTGTAGTGCTGAAATGAAGAAACATACCTTATATATGTTTGCTATTTTATGTGTCGGAATGTTTTTTTTCTATCGAGTTTCCAATAATTTTTCGATCATTCATATTGAAAAAAATATTGTCACAAATGGCAGGTGGTATCTACTTTTTTATTTTATGTTATTAATATATTTTCTAAGCTTTTATGCAACATATCATCTTCCTGTACAGGTAATGCAATAAAAGTAGTTTTCCGCAAATACAACTGTTGCAACGCAAATTTAATTTACAACTCTAGACGATTGGTAAATCATTGCTGATGCTATGTATGTAGGTATGTTTATTTAACAGTACCTGCATAATAATTAAACCGTATAACAGAAACGAGATACATGTTCAAGACCTTACTGGCCTAGGACACAGATGTGCGACGTGAACCCCCACAAGTATAACTGCAGTTTAGGACTGCTGCGTTATAGTAGGACAACAAACATGAAATATATATACAAATAAAACTCTTGTACAATTCACAGGACAAAGAGGTACGGGACCACGACGATATGTACAATAGTTAGTTTATGACACGTTCATGTCCCAGGTTCTGGTGTGAAGGGATAGTAATAGGGTATAAATCGCATATTTGTGTGTTTTTACAATAGATTGTACAAAACAAGTAAAAATTTGTTTGAGACATGAACTTGCCAAAAACCAACGTTGGGTGAGACCATGGACACAAAAAGATTATGTTCTAAAAAGGTAAACAATCAATGACATGTGTATAGATTCTTTGTTTACACTCGAGTTGTTAATCATAAATTGTATGCGACAAAAGAAATGGAAACAATAGAGTCTTGCATAATATGCGGGTCATTTCGTAGGCGCCATTGTGTGGAATTCATTGTCACCACGTCCCAGCATGATAAATTTAAATTTGTTTGATGAAATATGAAAAAATGGAATATTTATTACAAAATACCTATAAATATACATATCTCACAAATCCATAGAGATTACTGTAGAGTAGTCACATGCTTCAACCTCAGATTTAACAGTTGGATTAAATTTGAGTTGAGCTTAAAACCATCACCGCCACCGCCAACCATTTTGTTCTCACCATCGTAATTTGTACAGTACAGTTAAATCCCGCCATATTTTATTGCAGCTATGCTCGCTTAATATTCCGGACTGTCTGATTGACCGACTACTCGTTCTTACAGTTTCTCGCTTGAATAACAAAAATCTATCTCTGCGTATCTATCCAAATCTTTTACTACAGTTTTGAATGATTCATTTATTTATATTTTATAGTTCATGGTTTCATAGGCCTTTAGTATCCCGCCCTTTGGGTGATAGAGGCATGTTGGGAATGATCTTTAAGCTCGCCCATTGTCAATTTATCAATGTCTGTATTTGTATAGTTTATGCAGAAAAGATGGAAGTAAATACAATCATTTTGAATGAGACAACCGAGAGATCATTAGATCAAACCCCTCATTAGATGAACATCCCTTCTCTAGAACCAGATAGTAAGCATGAGACTGACTATTGGTTTAATGCTAACGGGTATCGTCTCCGTATTCGTTTAGCCTTGTATTCGAATAGTCAGGCTTGTCCATGGGATGAGACAGCACACATTTGTATTTCCCATGGGACAGGTAGGACATGAAAACCGTATGATTTTCGGGGAAATGATGGTAACACACATTTCGTTATGGACCTCGTGGGCATATATTCCAATTTCGGTTGATCGGAATTCAGAAAGTGCGCAGAACTTGTGACGGCGGCCGCTCGATTTTTTTCGTGTTGTGTAGTTTTCAATCGGAATCAAAAATTCCTATGCAACGACTTCTGAAATAGTCGTCGCAAAAACGTCATTCGTTAAAACAGCCACTTTTTCAGCGGAAAATGATTTTTCTGTGTCGCAAAATATTCAATTCATGACCGACACCAGCAGGCGCGAAGCCAGGATTTAAAAAAAAGGTGATGGGGGGTTGGGGGTACTCACTATGTATCATCCATTTTGGTTGAATATAGACCGCTAAAACGAATAGAAATTCTTCTACTTCATATAAAAATGTTTACCTCAGATAGGATGGGCCAGTGATGATAATGTTGTGAGAAAATTTAGTGGTCAGGTAGTGAAATATTTTTTATGATTTTAAAAAAATTTAATTTTGTTATACAACGAAAATTTTTGGACTGGAGCATTTGTTGGAAATCGAATAGCCAAATTTGAAATTAGATTTATCTTAATTTGAGGACAGGAGTATTAAAACTAGCGCACTAAGGTCATAGGGGGTTAGAAAATATCGAGAATTTATTACGGACTAAAAAAAATTTTCAAAACAATATGGCTGTTTTATTTGTTTCTTTTGTATTATATATCTTAAAAAATAAAACACGAAAACTTGCGTAGTCGATTCTTATCGTGAATTATTAAACCCTTCGGAACGCCGGTCCATGAGTTGTCCCAACATGACCTCTCAAACTGTAACAAAATGCGTCCACAAACGTGGTTGTATGAGGAAGCCGTAACCGACAAGCGATAACCATTCTGCAACGACGAGAAGTCCAGCAGTCCTCTTGTAGATTATCACAATCTTCATGGGATTCTAAATGCATAGGTTAGGTTGCCGCCGAGCCAAGTATATTCTCAGTTGTTGTATTAGCACACTCGTTTTACAAGATTTGGATTTCGA